CATACAAGACGCCAAACATAGCGGCACCGATGGCCGTGTTAAAATACGACGAGGAGAAGCATTGATTTCATCTTAAATAGTGTTGTACATATCGACGGAAATAATTGTTAATCAATTGTGTTTCAACGGTTACTCCAATGGCTGGGCCTTACCACAAAGGCAGTGCTCCCTTTGGATTACCCTCCCATATGTCTTTCTATGTCTTTCTGCCTGTGTCGTTGTGTTTCACGTCGTTTGCGAGAATTCATAAACATTCAATGAGGTTGCATTCACAACAATTTGTTTTTTCGTTCAAGAAAGCCCTTTTCGGACGGTTAAGACGGTCCTCGCTGTTAGAAATGAGCTTTCCTGCTCTGTACATGTTTTCGGTGTGACTGCATGTGAGAACAGTTGACATTCAAAGGTCATAACTTGTCACAGCAATGAGTAATACTCAAATCTGGCTACTAAAAGCAGTAAATCATTAAACACTGAAAAGGTCGCGAGCTGTTGCATAATAGATCGCGTCGCTCACGCAAACTCGTGCACCTAGCTGTGAGTTGCGCACATTCAGCCTTCTGACGTACCTTTTCCGGGAATCATCCAATTTGGAATTTCCTAGGTTAGACAACTCAGCAGCAGTGAGCGAGACTCCACTTTTTCGCAGCAATTCTGCAAAGTTCAGCCGAAAGCTTCAGTTCAGAATAATCTCGACTGGAATTCTTATTTGAACTGTTGTGAGTGGTTCTTCTTAGTGAGGTTTATCGTGAGTTCATGGTCCATAGAATAGAACATCGATGTTCTCCGTTCGAAACGCGAAATAAGACTTCTAAATCACAATAAAAGCATTTGCCAGGCCTGTCGCGCGGCCTGGTAATTTCAGGTCATCAGCCATGCCTATTCGCACACACGCATGGATATGCCTGAGTGGAGACAGCTGACATGAATCGACACAACACTGTAGAGGGGATCTATCCCCTGAATCGACCTGCGTCTCACGATATGAAGAGCGAGAGGCATAAATATAAAGACAATTTCAAGAAACGCAATCCCATCTGAATGAGCAGGGCTCCTCGCTGTTTCACCAGATTGGGCAGTCTTTTATTTACTATACATATATTTCTCGTTTGCTCATCTTTACTTGATAAATGGCTCGGTTTCGGCTAAGCTAGGTTTCTAGCCGGTCGTTGCGTCTACCGGCGTCCTTTTGGAATCTGCTGAATTCGAAAAAGGCATCGTCAAAAAGCCATTCGACTCTGAAGCGGATAGAAGTACATTCAATAGCAGAGACTAAACGGTTACGAAAGCCGAAAGGGTGATCATGAATATTGTCAAAAAGCGAAGCAATTCAGTGAGTCTGGGTAACGACGCCCTTAGTTTGATCTATGTAGGAGTAAAAAGATAATCCACGTGCTATCCAAAGCTTTACCAATTACGAGTGGATTTTGAATTAAATACCGAGAAATTTTCAATTTGAATGTTGCGGATTGCAGTATTGATGGAGTTAAGCCAAAGATTCGCACTGATCAACATTGCTAGAGTCGGTAGATCGCTATGCTTCTCCTCAGAAGGGCGGTATGAAATTAAGATGGATGGCATGCAAGCACGGGTCGATGCGTGTAGGGTGGATTTCAAGGGAAATTTTCAAGGAAAATTCAGGGGAAAGGGAAAATTCATAAGCGGCATAGTAAATTAAAACTATTAACAACTGTTCGCTGAAATGTGATTCAACATTGCTGTAGGTGACACCCCGTTTTCCTTTTCTGTTTACAAGGTGCCACGAATACTTCGTTCCCATGTTCATGCCCTACCCTGTAAATATTAGGTTGAGCACAAATTATCCGCCATTTTTTTCAGGCTCATGGCGTTATCAGGTGATCGCGCTATTTGTAGCCAAGCACTATGAAGTGGTTCGAAATATGCTTGGGTTCATCATGTCAAATTTTACAAACAAATGTATGTGCTTCTCAAGAAGTTGCAATTGAATTTGTGGTCCACCGAAGACATTTGAACGCTACAGTATGTAGGGGCTTTTGTTCAGCGGTCAGACCCCTATGCCACGTAGCCTTGTTGGATAGAGATCGTTTGATGAGAGCGAACTCAAGG